AGAAGTAATTTAGCAAAATAGAAGGGCAGGTGGGGAAAAGAATTTATTTCTTCTGTCATACTGCTGTTTGCTGGTTTTCCATCTAGGCTCAGGTTGCTCAATGCTTTCCCAATCTTTGAGTAAAGGTCATCAGCTTGTCCAGGCACATTCACTAATGGCTTTCATCTGTTTGCAGTTGTGCTTGCTGCAGGCAGGGAGATCCTTCAAAGTTCATTCCCCTTTTATCTTTGGCTTTCAACCAATACAAGGCTAGCACAATTGTTTTATTAGAATGGTCAGATAAAACTAGACCTAATCCAACATTAAATATTGCATTGTTGCAATATTAATACATGAAAGGCACTGCAGTTAGTCTGCTGAAATATGGGTATAATATGGAATTTTAGTGATTTTGAACACTTCAGAAGCCCGCATTCTTCAGTTTTCCTCTGAAGAGCTTTGGTTTCTGAACCCAGTGCATTTTCTTGCACACTGCAAGTCAGGAGGCTGCTGCCTGGTGGGGTTTGCTTCTCAATGTTTGGATTAGAGAAATGTGCAGGAACTTTGTGAGACAGTTAAGAAACCAAAACAGATTTGTTTTAGTTTAAATATGAGGTTTATTTTCACTTATGTTTGTTTAAATATGAGGTTAAAGATATGGATTTGAACATGTAATGTTAGCAGTGTACTTGTGTTTACAGTGGTGTATTTGTGGCAGACTTGTTTGGCACACAGCTTTCACTTTGCTTTCTCCTTTTCAGTTGTCTGTAAATGTCTGGAGTAGCAGTGAAGTTCAAAGCCACCTACAGCAGCAGAGCTGCTCTTCCCAAGGACAAGACAGACTTTGAATTGAGTGCTGACACCAGGAGAGGTCGTCCCTGGTCTTCCCAAGCTCATGTAGCTGCAGCAAAATGTGACCACTTTTGTATTCAGCCCTGAGAATTCCACACATGGAAAGACAGAGTAAACTCATATGCCTCTGTTTCTTTAGTTAGGTAGTTGTCCTTGGAGCAAATGTGTTCTCCTAGAAGAGTGGAAATCACTCCCTTTTATAGTGGAAATAACCATTAAAGACACAGCTATTCAGTAATCTCTGTAATCTCTGTCAGGCTCCTGGGCTTTCACTGACGAAAACAAGGTATTAAAAACAAAAAAATATATTGTTTTTCATTTAAGTCAGAGTGTCTGTGAATATAAATTTGGACTTTTTAGCCAACTTTTTCTCTAGTAAATATTTTATAAATCTGTATTTGTAGCCATTTGGATTTTGTTTTATTAATTTAGAATCTGTGAAGAGCATCTGTTACTCTGTGCCCACAGTATCATCTCAGCCCCATTTGGTGAAAATTTGTAGTGGCTTAAAAGCATCTTCAAAGCTGACAGGCAGCAGTTAGGACAACACTTGTAAGTGGATTTGTAATCCAGAGGATCCCTCTCTCTGTGGCTTCCTGCTGCTCTGTCAAACAGAAGCTAAAGGAGGAAAAAAATCATTCACCTTCAGTGTTGTGGTGAGACATTCTGCTCAAGCTGATGCCTGGCAGAAGGGTGCCCAGAGCTCCCAGTGTTGAACCAGTAGGGACCTGGTTCATGGCTTACTGGCTGGTAGTGGCTGGTTATCTCTTCTTGGTGGGGCAAATCCAGCTGTCCCAGGTACTGCTCAGACTTCAAACAACAGGACCAAATTTGCTCTGAAGAGCACTGTGATATGCAGCTCTTTAACCTACAAGTTTTTGCAGCAGCACTGCCTCTTTTGGGGAATTTGCTGCCATTGTAGTTAGAAAGGGTTATTTGGCACAACTGGAAAATGCCTGTGAGGCTGGAGACTTCAGCTCACTACGTCAGCCTGATTGCTGGTGAAGAGTGTGTCAGGGAGAAACTCAGGAAATGGTCTGCACTGGGGCTCAGAGAGCTGCACTGATGAAAGGCTGTGGACAGCAGTCAGCTTCAGAGCCTCTTGCCTGATTTGATACTCACCCTCCTTGCACTGCAGTGGGGAGTTTGGTATTCTCTGACCACCTCAGTTCTTAAATTATGGGCAGTTAAAACTGCATTGTTAGTTCTGTGTACTTGTCCAAACAGCAGAACTCAAGTCAGGCAGGCATCTATGTTCATCCATGTCCAGCAGCCCTGGGAATGCTCAGGAGTGATCAAGGCACCCCTGCTGAAACAAGGGCCAGGCTGTGAGCTGTGTCTGCAAGCAGATATTAGTGCATTTGGGATTGTGGCAGCAGTGATTTTGCAGTAATTCCCCATGAAGGAAGCCCTCTGAGGTGTCTGAGACATTTCACGTTTCTAACTATCAGTCTCTGTTGCTCAAGGTATGAACAGAATTAGTTCCAGTTCAGACTCAGTTGTGCAGTGGATTGGTCATAAGTCATATATTAAAGAACAAGTTTCAAAGAATAGATGTGAGTGAAACAAGGTATTTGAGATAAGGGTAGTGTTGCCCCCTGAGCAGTGCTGAATCCAGCTGACAGCTGAATCAAAGCATGTTGCCAGCTTATCTGAGGGCATCTTTCTTTCTACTGCTGTTAATGATAGGATTTTCCCAGACAGGAAGAAAGTGCAAATAAAGACTCAGTGCATCCTCATATTGAAATCTCACTTTCTTATGCAAGAGGTGAGAGACACTTTTCCATTTTTCCTCTTTTCCAGCAGCTACCTCCTCATTCCCTGTCATTAATGCTGAGCTATCTCATGCTCATGCAGAGTTTTAGGCTGTCATCAGTGCTCTTAATTTGTTTATCCATCATATCCCAGAACTAGGTTGTTCTTCCTAAATGTACCTTATGTGTGTCACATAAATGTCAGTTTATGTGTGAAGATATCCCAAAACCTCATCTCATTTCCATTGGCTAAAGCAATAACACCAACTTAAATGATGACTACTTCATGGAAGTTCATGAATGAACTTTCATTCATTTTGGAGTTTAATTTCAAAGGGTAGGTGTTATAGAGGGCACTAAAGCATAAAATTATACATGTAAATATAATCCCAGTGTAATGCCATTGACCTAATTCAGATTTCTTCTTCATGTAGAGAGTGCTCAGTCTGACTTCTACCATTTCCCAAATGTCTGTGGTTGATGGAGCCAAGGCATTAAGATGATGTCTTTAATGATGGATTTATGAGGTGAAGGTTATTGCAGTGGCAGGGAATTGGCACAAACAAGATAACATATCAAAAAGGAGGCAGCTGCCTTGCCAAAGGTGCGCTGATGAGCATTGTCATGTAGTGGGAAAGAAAAGCAAATCCTGGAACTAGTACTTGAGCTAAGAAATGCATGCTACAGTCACAGAAGGCATTTATAATCCTTAATTTTTCAGAAGAAATTCCATCACTTGATTACTGCCAAATGGTAATTTTCTGATAATGACAAATTGCAGATGAATTCCCCAGAATCCTGAAAAAACTTAGCTAAAGTGGTAAAAATGCCCTTGTTAATCGCTTTAGCATGTATTTCTTCATGTTTAGAAATTCAGAATCCCACAGGATTAGCTTTATGACTTCTGATGTTCACAGCAACTCTAAAAAAACAATCCAGGCACAACAGCGGCCTGAGTGTTGGTGATTTCTAGGGTGGAGGATCTCGAGGTGGGCATGGTCAGCCACAGACACACAGACCACTGAGGAGTGGTGCTCCATGCCTGCCAGGTGTCCAGAGGGGAGCACAGAATCCATTCTCTTGCTTTCTAGCTGCTCGGATGTGTAGGAGGTTTGTTTGTTTGTTTGTTTGTTTGTTTAAAAGGTCAAAAAGGAACTTAAAGAGAAATAAATAATCAAAGGCATAGAATGAATTTGGCATGAGGAGAGAGAGTAAATAGAATGGCATTTTTCAGTTACAAAAGAGATGTCAGACAGGAAAGATGATAGCAGATCTGTAAAATCATTAAGAAGGTAGAAAAGGTGACCAGATAGTGATTATTCACTGCTTCTCACAGTAGACATACTGAGAGGAGGCAAAGGAAATTATCAGGCAGCAAATTTAAATGAGCAAGAAACACTTTATTCAGATGAAAGAGAGGTTGAGGAACTGAATGCCACTGAGTATTGTAGAGTTACAAATGAGATCAAGGATTTGTAAGATTTATCATTAAGATAAATCTCTCAAAGGGATCTGGATGCAAATTCTTGCTTTGGAGTTTTCTATGGTATAATGCTTACAACTGCCCCATTTTGTACCCATTTTGTACCATGGCCCTAAACTTCTGGTACTTGCCAAAGACACAAGACAAGACTAGATGAACCCATAATGCCTTCACTAGATCTGGCCCATCATGTGTTTTCCTGTGCACATAGGTTGTGACATTCGAAAATATGTTTTTGCTTCTGGAAGGTTTTGGGTCTGTCCTGATATGAGATTGAGCTTCACAGGTCAAGGGATGAATTTTGGATCTCAGTATATGTGAAAAATATTTGAGTGATGTCTTGCAGAGACCACTTTCTGTTTGCACTGGGATTGTCTGCAACGGCCCTGAGATCCAGAATTTTGCTTCCATGTGTTTGTGGTGCCATGGAAAAAATGGCTATTTTTCTGACAGAATTATTTTAATTACTGTAAGAATCTTGCTTCTGAATCTTCATAGCGCTAGTGCTTTAATATTTCAAAATTTTTTTTCTTTAAATTTGCTATTTTCTACCCTTTCAACCCCCCACCCCCCCACTGCAAACTAGCAGGTATGGAGAGATCAGTTGGAACACAGCAGAGTGGTGTGTTCCAGCTTTCCTACACCCACAAATTCCAATTAATGCTAGAAAAGTAGGAGTTAGACTGCATTCACTGAGTCAGCTGTGGAACACAGCAAAGCTGTTGCTGTTCCTGGAGAAGGGTGTCCTACCCTGGAGCTGTGTTCCCAGGAGTGTTGCTGAATGTTTTCCCTTTCACTTGGAAGCAGTAACTTCTCTTTCAAGCAGCTTTAGGCAGTGGGCTGAATGCATAAAGGACCTTCATTGTCTCTGCTGCCTCTTTGGAGCCCTGTATCCAAAGGTAACAGTCTCCTTTTTGGTTTCATTTTCCTAGGGATATCTATGCCTATTCCGGTCATTGGTTTGCAGGATGACTCCCGGGTGTTTGTAAATGGGACCTGCGTCCTTAACGATGAGAACTTCGTCCTCATTGGATCCTTCATGGCTTTCTTCATCCCTCTCATCATCATGGTGATCACATATTGCCTGACTGTTCAGGTGCTGCAGAGACAGGCCACGGTGTTCATGTGTGGAGAGGTGCCCAAGCAGAGAAGGAGCAGCGTGAACTGCCTCAAGAAGGAAAACAACACAGAGAACATTTCAATGCTTCACAATCACGAGGGGGCCTCCCACTTGAACTCCCCTGTAAATAAGGAGGCAGTGCTTTTCCGGAAAGGAACGATGCAATCCATCAACAATGAGCGAAGAGCCTCCAAGGTCCTGGGCATTGTCTTCTTTTTGTTCCTCATCATGTGGTGTCCGTTTTTCATCACTAATGTTATGTCTGTCCTTTGCAAAGAAGCCTGCGATAAAGACCTGTTGAGTGAGCTCCTTGATGTGTTTGTTTGGGTTGGGTATGTGTGCTCAGGGGTCAATCCCCTGGTGTACACCCTCTTCAACAAAACCTACCGCAGGGCTTTCTCCAATTACATCCGCTGCCAATACAGGCCTGATAAAAAATCAGCACTGAGGCAGAATCAGTGTCTGAACGTGGCTTCAACAGCTTTGTATGGCAAAGACCTGTCTTTAACTAGTTATCGAAATGGCAATGAATTCAATAGCATGGAACTAGATGAACCTGAGGAGGGCCTTGAAATGCAACCAGGGACTTCAGAGCTCTCCATAAACAGCTGTAATGCTGTAAGTGAACGAGTGAGCTGTGTGTAAAAGAGACTCTCACAGACCTTTGCTACAGTGTATCTGTTGCCAAAATATATTGTGTAAAAATGTAAGTGTCAGTCAAAGGACAATGTAAATATTGCATTCTGAACAAAGCTTTTGGGTTTTTTTAAGAGAAAAAAGAATTGTCTTTCCAGTCCAGTACTTAAAATAATATATATTAATATACTGCAGTGAAGTTTAAGGTTCTATATTTACTGTTAATACTAGATCAGAACTATTAGTTACTTTGCATATGTCATGGACAAAATGTTTGAATTCTTCTTCCAGTGCATGAACAAAAATGCTGAATATTTATCTCAGGTGGAATTTGCTGGAGTCCAGAATGGCACGTTAATAGTTATATATCAAATACATGCTATTAGACTTGGTCAGTATAACTTTCTTTTTCAAGTTGACAGTAAATATATACTTTAAATCCTCACCCCTATTTGTGCCGTGTAAAGACTTTACAGAAACCTGGAAGAGAGACATCACAACAGCGTAGTGGCCGTGCAGACACTGGCCAGACATGTCCTATTATGTGTAGTGGCTTCTGCCATACTGTGTCAGTCTTGCACTTCAAGGGACCTTTGTTAGATTCTGGCTCCCTCTTCAATCCTGCTGAGTTTTTTCTGTTCCTCAGGAAGCTTTAGCTCCCCTAAGAAAGGCAGAGAATGTGGTTTTGCAGTCCTGCCTGGGATCAATCTCAGACTTGGAGGAGAAGAATTGTGAGAGGCAGAGCAATCCCCAGTTATCTACTTCAAACACTGAGTAAATGGAAGGCCTAGGATTCATTAAAAGCCCTCCTCTGGTCTTGCAGATAACCATCAGCTCTGGGACAGAGCAGGCTGTGCTCAGTGTGGCCAGCACTGCCTTCACAGTTTGCTGGAGGACCAGGGGCTTTGGCTTATCTGAGGAAGAGTGGTCTGGCTTTGGAAGAGCCAAATCTCTGCTCTTCTCACTCCTCATCTAGTTATTCTTTAGTTGGTTTAGCATTTGCGTTTATTTTCCAGCACAATACTGGTGACAAAACACTGCTTTGGGCACAGAGCAGAAGGTTCTCTGTGTGTGGTGCTGGTCAGGATCAAGCTGTGAGGAGCAGGATGTGCCCACCTGGGGAATGCTGGAGAGAGGCATAAGAGAGGGTCCCTGCTCCTGTCTCAGCTGGGGGTGGGCAGAGATGAACAGAGCATGTGATAGGAATCATTTGCTGGTGACACAGTTCTAAAGCAAATTATGATTATGGACAGCAGGGAAGCAGACTTGGAGCTAGTCTGCATAGACTATGAATCTGGAGTAACTTTAAATTTTGATTTATTCCATTTTACTCCCAAAGTAAGTTAGAGCATATCATATTAACACCACTTACATCTTTAATGAAAGCATCCACATAGGGATTGAATGTATTTTAAGTAATCTGCTTTTAATACGCACCATGTATAATATGAATCAATTTTCCTCTGCATTCCTGTGTACATAAACCCTCCAAGGCATTGTGTCTTTCTGGCACTGTGCCTCTGGGGTGATGCCTCTCATGCAGATTTCCTAATGTGGAATATTGTTGAATGCCAGATATCACCCATAAGGTTTTTTTTTAATCTTCATTAACTGCTACACAGATGCTACAGTGCCCATCTAACATAGATGCATTTAGTATCACTGACAGCCTCTGGCTAAGATAATTGTCAGAACAGAGAAGCTTACACTAGGCATGGATAAATCACATTTTATTTACATGAATTGCTTGTCCACTCAGCTTGCAGTGTTCATTCCATTAAAACTAACTTGTAGAAGAAATAGAAAATTCTTCCAGTGCTTGAGGTGGTGTTGTGCTATTGCATGGCTATGTGCAGCTAAAGCCTTGCTGAGGCCACTGCTAAAACACAACGTTTGGGTTGTATCTGCTGCTGGGTTGATCCCAGAATGATGCACTGAAGTTGATCATCTTTTCTCCCTCATCCACTCCCGGGATAAATCCATAGTACTTCCTGCAGGCAGAAGAGGAATCCCAGTGCAGAGTGCAGCTCTCTGCTGGCAGAAGGCAGCAGACCTGCTCCATGTGCCAGCCTGCAGATACCACCATGGTCTTGAATGCTTGGGAATCCACTTGCCTCTCCCAAAGGTTCAGGTAGTCAGCAGAAAAATCACTGGCCAGAGACACAGTTGCACCTTCAGCAACTGCCCTTTACCCTGAGTCAGATTTTATTTTCTCAAAAAGTACAGAAAAATCAGAAAAATCACAGTGCATTTTAATTTTTTCCCCCTCTCTTCCAAATGTGAATATGTGTGTATATATATAGACACGTGTGAGTTTGTACTTACATATATATACACACACACATATATATATATATCTTTAAGAACCAACCACAGACTTTGAAAGCACTTAGCAATAAGTTGAATTACAGTAGCTTCTAGCACATGTGTAAGTTGTGTGAATAGCTCATTTTCCATCTGGAGCTCAGTGTAAGTGTTCACATAGGCATTGTCTTCACATGGGAGCCTTCATGTCTCACCCTTGCCTGTTCTGTTGTATGGGCAAAAAGGGAACCTGCTATATTTCAGTGTAAATAATGAGAATTGAACAGAGAATTTTCAGAATTTTTATAAGTGTTTTTAAAAAAAAATCAGCACCAGAACTGTGAATATGCCAACCTCAGCTGGACCTGTTCTGATGTCCAGCTCTTGTCTGGATGAAGAGCCAAGGGGATTGACTGCCTTACAGCGCCTGCATTCCTCCCAGAAAGCAGAGGAGAGCATTTCTCTGAATGGTTAAATGCTGTCACATACCCAACTTTCTTTGGGTCATTCACATCAGGGTTTTGTGATGCTGCTATTAATTTATTAAAGAAAGTTTGTTGGTTTAATCATTCTTCTTTTTTTTTTTTTTTCATGATCTATCAGAAAATAAATAAGTGAACATGCTCTCTCTTTCTTTCATCTGTCCCCAGTTAAAACATATCCTGACCAAAAAACCAAGCCAACTACAAAAAATGAGGATAAGGACCTATACTTGAAGTATAGCCCATAGCTGCTTAATTGCAGGAATTAGTGCCAGCAGATGTCCCAACACTTCTAGACCCAAAACTTGTTAAATATGAAAGCAGTGATAGACTGTTCTCCCTCTTCAAATTTCTCCCTTCAGGAACAACGATAAAAATTTACAATTTTTTAAACTATGTGACTTTGAAGAACTGATTTAATTTTCTGAAACTCAACCAAAGTCAGGTTGTTCCCACAGCCCCTTTGCTTCTCCTGAGATGTAACCATTAACTGTGGTGGTGCCTCCAGAAGCCCTGCCTGGGGCTGTCTTGTGGAAACACCTGCTGGAATCTTTGTGTGAGTCCTCAAATCCCAACTCAGGTATGGTTTTGTCTTACAAATAGTGTCTGTGGTAGTGTTTTGCTTTGGTTTGGACAGAAGAAGTGAAGATAGTTCCTTGGAAATGGTTGGAGGCTGAGATGGGCTGGCTGCTTTGTTTCCCAAACCAGATGGAGCTGTGCAGGCAGGCTGCCCATAGGACAGCACCCATGCAGAGGCTCTGCCCCAGCAAACAGACTACCCTTTTTGACTGGTACTGGGCAGTCTGCTCTGGGGGAGCCCAGGTCATAACTGGCATTTCCCAGATGTAGGGGCTTGCAGTCTTCCCTGCCCGAGGTCAGAAGCAAGGCTGGCCATGGTGTTCAAGCATAAACCCCTGTGACGGGGCAGCCTGGTTTCTAGACCTTAGCTGCTCATCTGCATCTGTTCCATGCTGCCCCACACAGCCAGATCTGGGGCACAGCATCCATGGGATCAGCCATGGGGACCCGTGCATGCCTCACAGACTGTGCTTTGAGGAGAAGGCCAGCTCCTCCCATCCTGTGCTTGCTGAAAATAAGAGCAGCTACCCAGAGGCTGTGGCACTTGGGAAGTGACATAGTTCAGAGCCAATGCTGAGGAGTCCTAAGGCATGCCACCTTAGCACAGCTCTTTATTGTCTGAATAACAGTGAGTCTTCAATAGTTCATCTGAGTGATAATTCAGAGATGAACATGTTAGGCAATGTGTGAGTAAGCACTGTGAACAGTGTGGTTCTTGCTGTTTTCTCTGCAGAGACACTCATGACAATTTCTTCTGGTGAGCCCCGTGAAGAGTTTCATCACTGGTGTGGAGGGTGCCTGGTGCTCTTCCCAGTCAGCATCCAAGGTGCTGGATCCATGAGGGCCCTGGAAAGACACAAATTCCAAAGAAGAAACATCTTCCAAGGAAGAAAAGCAAACCACAATCAGCCCTTCAGAAATACCATTTAACTTTGAGCTACTGAAGGGTGTGTGATACTGTGGCAGATAAATTGTGAATTCCAAAAGCAGAGCCTGTCACGTGATAAAGGAGCAGATGTCTCTTGGATGCCTTTCCCTCCAGTCTCACAGTATCATTAGGATAGCTACATGCCAACAGCTGCACTTGGCTTTGTCTCCATTTCAGGGGTGGAAAAGGCATCAGAGGCTTTTTCCTAGTAAAAGGCACACAAAAGAGCACCAAGTCTTGCGCATGTGAAGCAGAAGGACAGAAAGACAGATGTGTGTACACATCTGTGCACATGAACACACACATCCCAGAGACCACAGAGAGCCACAGTTGTCATTCACTTTATTCTTCCCTTGAAAATATGGGAGTATATGAAAAGCTGGGGAGAAAACCTGTGATGGGGAGATCAAATATACCTGCTGGTGTGATTGTCAGGTGGGGGCTGTTCCAGTGATAAGGTAGCTTGTGGGGGTGCATGTATCCAAAAAAAAAAAAAAAGCTTTTTTTGTTTTCATTTCTAACTATGAATTTGTTATTGTATGTTTTATCTCTCCCTCGTTTTTATATACGTCTCAGGTCTTCTGCTTGTTTGCTTTTACACACACTGAAACCTGTGCTCTGAAGCTGTCAGAAAATCAGAAAACTTCCATGTAATGTGCCATTCCTTCTCAGCTGTGCAGGGATGCTGCCACCCCATCACAACATGGAGATGGAGAGACTTCAGGTGAGGGATTTTAGATCTGTACATGATAGATAATCAATGCAACAAAGCACACTTGCTAATTAAAGGATCTCACCAGAACATCTTTAATGAAGAGTCAAGTGCATGAACTACAGACTGAAAAAGATTTGCGTAAGACTATTCTAAATGCTAGGTTTTGCTGACAGCAGGAGGGTGTGTGGGGTACATGTGGAGGGAGTGTTGCAGCAGCAGGGTTTCTGCTCTGGGCAGATCTCTCACATGGTCCCTCCAGGAGGATTCTTGTCTCAGGACCAGCACAGCATGTCCTGGCATGCTGCCCCCAAACCCTCCCCTTCCCCCCCTCCCCTTCCCCCCCTTGCCCCCCCCCCGGTATTCACTCCACCCTTTCCAACCACACAAAAGGTTGCACGACAACATCCTCCTGGGCCACAGCTTCCAGGGTCTGTGGAGGGCCCTGGCAAGTGAGTAAGTGTCTAGTGGTGACAAAGGCCAAATAATTCTGGTGGCTCATAGGTGGTGACAAGAAGATAATTATACAGACTATTCACAGCAGGCAATGGGTGACAAATTGTTGTGGAAAATCAACACTCTGGAGCAATCCTTCTTCCATATTTCCTCTCTTATTAATGTTCTCTTATGTTCTGCTTCCCCAAAAACCAAAGATCTCGTAGCAGATAAATGCAATTTCCCCAGCAGTTTCCTGGGACAATTGTAGATGCTTTGTGATTCTAGTTGGTACCTGTAATGAGCAGGGCTTATGCCTTTTTTAATGTTCAGCTCTTTATTAAAAAGATCAGCTGGGCAGGGGGCTCGACACTGAGCTCGCCCCCGCTGTTGTGGCTTTCCCGGTAGCTGAAGGGGGAGAAGGCTGCAGAGTCTGTCCCTGGAGTGTCCGTGCAGGGTCTGTTCCTGGAGTCTCTGTGCAGTCTGTCCCTGGAGTGTCCGTGCAGAGTCTGTCCCTGGAGTGTCCATGCAGGGTCTGTCCCTGGAGTGTCCGTGCAGGGTCTGTCCCTGGAGTCTCTGTGCAGTCTGTCCCTGGAGTGTCCGTGCAGGGTCTGTCTCTGGAGTGTCCATGCAGGGTCTGTCCCTGGAATCTCTGTGGCACACTGGTATCTGGAGGTGAAGAGGTGTGCAGTCTGTATCTGAAGTCCCAGCAGACCGTCCTCTCTCCTTTCCTCCTGGCACACTGGTAGCCAAAGGGTGAGGAGACCAGCCAGGGTCTGTTGCTGAAGTCCAGCAGCAGCTGTCCCCTGTCCTTCCCTCCTGGTAACACCAGGAAGAGTGTGTGTTCCTTTGTGCCTGCTTCCCACAGCCCAGTCCAGTCTGGTCCCCTGCAGGTTATGGTGACAGGTCATACAAAGACCAGGGATGTGGTTCCCTTTTCCCCAACCAGTGCACCCATCCAGCCCCCTCCACTGTGCCCAGCCTTCCATTTAGGGGTGTTTTCATCCCCAAAACCCCCTCCCATTATTCCACTAGTTCCTCTATTTGCATCCTACTACTAGAATGGTAGTGTGCATGGGGTGGGAGTGTAGGTTGTTCCCAGGAGCAATTAGCTAATTAACATTTCAATGTCAGTACTTAGCTCAAGTGTCCCAGCAAGGCTGTTTTGTTCATAACAGTACCAACACTTAGGTACCACACAGGGGCATGTTAAATCCACTGTTCTGAATTTTCCTGTGCTCGAATTGTATAAATTGGATAAATTAATGTTTAATTAAAATACAGCCAGATTATCCAACGTAAGTGATTAATGGGATTTAATTGTGGCATTTTGAGTGATTTAAATTTCTGATACACACACATACATGAAAAAATCTGTAAACTAGTACCTGTTAGACCACTGCCTAGTTACATTTGTTAAATTTTAGAGCAGCTTTACATCTGTGTGTGCTGCTGATGTTGATGTCTCCTCCTGCAGAAGGACAGGCGGGTGCCAGTGATGGATTCTCATCAAAGACACTGAAGATTTTAATTAGGGTCCTTTGCCCTGATTGAGAGCTAGAACAGCTCTCCTGTGACATTTGGGGAGGAAGATTTCAGTGCCTCTCCTGTGAAGCCTTCCCAAACATCATAACACTGCTCAAAGGTAAGAGCAATTGCCCAACAGAGATCTCAGCTGTGCTGGGGGTTCCTGCCCTACAGGCAGCAGTCATTCATGTTCACAGCTCATGTCTCCACAGGTCATAGTGACTCACCCATGAAGCCATGGCAAAGTCTGGCCTCTCAGCTAAGTGCTCCCCACCTATTTTTTTTTTTGCAGCACAGCTGACGCCTTGTGGAGGCTGACCTAGAACAGAGACTAGACAGAGATAAAGAAAAAAGAAGGTATTTATTAAAAGGCCTCAATGGATCCACCTTGGGCAGCACAAGAGCCCAGCCAGGGCTACACCCAAGATGAACCAAAATGGTCACAAAATGCATGACCGCTCACTGGGTCTCTCACCTTTATAAATTTTGGTCCATTAGCATATTTGAGCTAATTGTCCAATTATAGCTTTAGGTTATGAAGTCCCATCCTTCTTGTTTTTCTCTCTTCAGTCCACATTGTTTATGCTCTTGGGCCTGGATCATGTGGATTTGGATCATTTGTCCTTGGTCACCAGCTGGAGAAGGAATTGTTTTGCCTCCCTATTCTGTGAAGAGAGCTCAGCATCCCCTAATATGAAGCTCAGAAGTACACACTAAAGCAATACAGAATCTGAAAAATATCAAAGCTAAAACCTGAGGCATCACAGCCACAAGGCTGGAGCATGGGTGGGACAACACTCAAGTGAACATTTGCTCTCTCTTGTACCTTCTCTAGGTGTACTGAGGAGAAAGCTGCTCAGATCCTGCCCCAGGCTGTCCCATGCTGGCCTTTAGCAAAGTGCAGGGATGAGTTCTGACTGTGCAGCACACCATGGTCAGGATTTGTGGATTTCCTTTGCCAGACCTTTACCCCTAGAGGGTAAATGCACGTGATTCCCTGGTGGTTTGTAGGTAGTTGACACATTTGTTTTAGAGAATAGGTGGGACTGTGTGCTGGGCCTGAGCAGCAGCCCTGGTGGTAGGCATGGTGTAGGGACACAAGGCTGGGCAGGGCCTCTTATGAGAAGAGAGCAGAAACCTTGGCTTTTGTCTTCTAGTGGCCAAACACAGGTGAAAAAAGCTCTCCATCAGGATATCAGGAAGTGCTTGTTCTGACTAAAGAGAGAGAGAGGAGCTATTTAGGCTAGAGGAAGGCATTGACATACAGAAAGGGTAGAAATAAAGTAGGAAATAGAAGCAGGCTTCCAACAAGTGGGGTATTCCAGGTCTGGGACAGCATTTCCTGGTGAGGCAGCAGTAACAGCAACTGAAATGCTTATTGAGGGCACAGCTCTTGCAGTCACACACAGATTTACCCCATAGGCACAGCAGGAGGGTCCAGGTCAGCCCATTTGTCCTCATCCTCTGGTTTGGCAGAGCTCAGGCAACAAGCCAGTCATCTGCACAGCAGCACCTCCCCAGAGGCACCTCCCAAAGTGTGGGAGGAACAAACATCCCAAAGAGAGAACACTAATTTTGGGCTATGGTCCTTCCAAGTTCTAGCAAAGCCATGAAAAATGCTACAATTTTGGAGGAAGGCAGGAGAGACCATGCCAAATCAGTGTACTCCTACACGCAGGACAGCATGAAGTCAAGGCATGGCAAAGGCTGAATGTTTCCGGCCCTGGACCAGCCCCAAATTCTATGAAGTAATATAAGTTGCATTCTCAGAAGCATCCAGAATCAACCAGCTTGGCTAACCCAAGCCTGACTCTATGCAGACACAGAACTGTGTTTTGTTTTATACAACAGCATTTCCATGGACATTTGGTGTTACTGGACTCTGCTCAGGAAAGCAACAACATTGAGGTAACATCTTTTTGGGCTGCCTTCAGCTGGTGTGGTTGAACAAACGTTGCTGAGAAACTTTCAGGACTGAGCCTGCTTTTGTTCTTGCCCTGCCTGACTTTTAAAAAACACTTTGTTGCTATAGCCAGGAACTTCATGCTTTTTCTTCAGTTGAATAAATTGTGCTGATGGCCTTTTAAGCTTCTGTTGTGAAAAGAAAACTTTGCTGAACCTGGCAGGCAACTAGGTTATTGTTTTCTCAAGTGCGTTTCTAAACAAATTGGCATCATGGTGTTATATATGACTACTGTAATTCATGCCAATATAATATTGTTGTATTTGGTTCAGGAAAGTATAATGTGATATGTGTAATATTTTGTTGTTGCAAGCACACATGCCAGAACGTGAGTTGACCCCACATATCCAAAACCGGTTTCTGACAAAGCCTCATTTGCAATCTAATACATGTGGCTCGCCTTGAGATGGGTCGTTCCTCGGGTGATACAGGAACGCCCAGGCACTGATCATCCCTTGCAGTGGTGTGTCTTTAATTTGATATTTGTTTAATATCTGTTTTCCCCCCCCCATCCCTAAAAACCCCCTCATCTCCAAGTTGCCAATCCTCCCTTTCCCTGCCCCTTTCCCTGGAATCTTCCCTGTCATGTTAGTTCTGCCCTAAACTCCTCCCCTGCTATTCTCTTAGTGGTTACTGTTCCTACACCCCTCCTCCTGAGTTCTGTATAAAACCTCTGCTCCCGCCCCCGAGGGGGTCTTGGGGCTCACTGAATAAAACCATCCCGTTCACCCCCCAAGTCCCGTGTCGCCTTCGTCTGTCCCCGCGCGCCACGAACTGAACTGCAGAGCTTGCAGGGGGAAGCGGCCGCCCGTTCTCTTCCCTCACTGCCCAGCACGGCACGGCTCGGAGTGCCGCGGCGAGAGGAGCACATGCCGCGCCACAACATATGGTAGCAGAGGATGGTTCCCTCCTTCGTCTTGTAAAAAAAACGGGCAAATTCGTGGGGGCGCCCGCCTCACAGAAGAAGAAGGAGGGAAGAGGAAAATCTACGGCCGTAAAAGCTCTGCCGGATGCTATGAGGAGCTGAGCGCCGAGCGAAAAAGATTGAGGCTCCGGGACCTCTTTGTTCTCGCCATCTACCCGCCCTGGAGCAGCCGCGCTGCACGGGCAGCCGGGCTGCAGAGCTTTTTGGTGGGCAGACTTACCCGAGAACAGAGAGAGCGGTTTTGGCAGCGGCTCGGGGGAGCCTGAAGAAAGGCTGACCGAGAAGAAATTCGTTCCTCGGTCAGCATCTGCAGCGAGACCACCGGAGGCTGATAGTGGCCGAAACCAAGGCTTCGGGGACGAGTCTTGGTTTAACGGGAACACCCAGGCCTCCGGAAGGGCCAAAACCGGGAAGGAACATCCCCAGTTTTTAGCACGACTTTTCCATCGAGTCGAAGAGAAGATTCAAGCCATCTCCGTCCGAGCCTGCAAGGTAAGGTAGGCTACACGGGGTGGGGATCGCCCCGACGG